TAGTTGTAATACTTTAACAGCTACAATGTTTCTTTTTGTACCAGGCAGCTCTGTTTCTAATTATTATATAAACTTAAAATGTCAAACTTTAATCTTTTACGCAGAAATGTCGACTAGTTTTGTATAACCAGTGGTTTTTGTAGCTCAATTCCTTGGTACTAAATAGTGAATTTTATGAGCAAAATCGGGCACTGATAAAAGCAAAACTGAGACAGTGAAAAGAGGCTCAATCGGGATGAAAAAATATATATTGCGACAGGCAAACAAAAAGCCTGGCTACACGCCTGGTATTCATAACCTTTTTGTCATAATCTAGTTTGAATACTAATAGCTAAAAGGGTAAATTATCAACCAGTAATAAGAGAAGTGTCTAATGTTTCTTTGTCTTTCTTAATTAATTTTTTTTTTTTCAAATACTTAATGGAGAAAACACTAATCTTGTACACACAGTTTTCGACTTGTGCTTTGCAGTGGTTTTTGTAGCACAAATTAAAGAGTGCTAAATAGTGGGTGAAAGACGCACACAAGCTTAAAAGAAACCCTCATATTTAAGATGTTACCTTGGGTTTAGTTCATGAATGATTAACGTATTGATGAACACATGTCGTATCCAAGGAAAAGAAAACAAAGAAAGAAAACAAGAACATACGGTTTGGTACTGCAGTTTTGTATTTACTCAGAAAAACGAAATGATGATGTTATATTTTTCTTAATGGCTGTGGGTTAAATTCATTAGGTGTTTGCATACAAAATGTGTACATGTGTAGATTTGTGGCGAATAGATATGTAGCATTGACAAAGGCTAAAACCTTGCATCTGAAGAAAGAGTTACATGACTTATGGAATAACATTTTACTATGTTATATTGAATATGTATATTTGTTTTACGCAACGTTTATGGTTATATGGTGACAATAATTAGAAAGTTGATTATAGTCTCTGGGAATCTTTTGATCATTAGTAAGTTTCAATACTTTCATAAGGAAAAGTGAGTAGTAGGCCTAATGCATGTAGTGAGAAAGGTGTCTAATGACTCAGTGTACAATGACTCTGCTTTTAGTTATTTCAAGTACTTGTCTTAATGAGGTGTACATTAATGTTTTACTCATTATTGTCAAATGTAGTTTTGTACAGGCAATATTTTTATAGTTCAAATTCAATGGTGCAAAGTAGTGGGTTAGATGAAAGCAAAATAGCTAAGAAAGACGTATAAGTATGTTGCCTCGTATATGAGCTAATTTGTTACAGATTGGGGCATAGCGTTCTGTCTCCTTACGAAGAAAAACACCATATGTTAAATAAAAAAGAAAAACTGCAAACAAATACTCGTATCAGACGCTTACGAAACTACTGACCGGAAAAAAAACTAACAATTTCAAATGCCCCGCGCTGCGATTTTGTCGACCATTTCCCACAATGCACTGTGAAAAATGAACTCTCCGTGGCAAACTCTTGGTGGCGCACAGCATTGTGAATAGCCCGAGGAAAGCCAAAGTTTACATCATTCATGTCACGTGCCTAAATCGATCTTTAATTTCCAATAGTAAATCTGCGTGTGAACATTAGGCCAAAGTCTCCGTTTTCTGGTATGGAGCTTGCCCAAAAAGTGGTGCGGCGACGCGGCTTTTTTTTTTTTTTACCTGTTTTTTTTTTTGCTTCAAATGTGGGCTGATGACTGCAAATGGTGCCCGACTAAACCTAAACTTAGTGCAAATATTATGGGAGACCAGAGAGGCCACATTAAGCTTATTCTCGATCATAACCCCATCTAAAAACACGTTTAAATTGTGCAGCAGCAGGATTCCAGTCAAACCAGTGAGTTTGGCGGTTTTGAGACATCATCTTTCATGGAAAAAAAACTTTTTCATTTTGCCGACGCGCATGGCTACGGCGACGCGCGCGCATACAAGAAACTGGATACTTTTTTTTGGCATTATAGGAGTAACCTTTTCAAATAAATGTTTGACCTAAAACGACCGCGAGATGTACAAAAGTGTATATACAGGGAGATAGTTCTCATCCAAATTTCGAAAGTTCGCACTCCGAAACACTGTTGCTTTGCCCTGCAAATACTGTTAGATAAACTGTTAGTTTTGCACACTGTAATTTAGTTCAGGTTACTAGCTGAGTTTGGCAATCGGCCACCTCTTCCTTACCCGTCTGTACGGATCGGTGACATCTTTAAAATAATAACAGCTGAAGTAGAACTGTACACGAGTTGCTATGGGAGTACATTGTATTATCGTAATTTCTTCTATTTTACTGCTAATATTTCTTTAAAAGTGTGAGTTATGATATTTTTACCGTAGAAAAAAAATGTTATGTCCTCGTTCATGTCTGCATTATTTTGTTTCGAGGGAATAGACTTCCTATGATTAGGGATACTTTCGGGTTTGTTTATTGCGTAGTATAAGTTCTGAGCAATGCTATTGGAAAAAGACAAGGGGAACAATTGAGAGAGGTAAACGGGGCTTTAAAACAAGGCTGGATTGGAGACAGGGTTAGAGAACAATTGAGTTAGCAGTGTTAACGACAAATCTTTCAAGTTTTTGCTTTAAATTCCCTCCCCAAAAATGGATTTTAGAAATACACGGGGAAAAGCACCACACGCGTCAATGAAGCAGTGCATGGCGTTATCCATCTTTTTACGCCGGGCGCAAAATGAAGATGTAACTGTATCGACGTCCGTATATCGTCTTACAGTACGGCGGAGAGGATTCTGCCTTTGATTATACAAGCATGACATTTGGCTCAAAGTCAGAGTATGACTGTGTGCCAAATCTCACTATTAAAACCGTCTTTGTACCAAAAATGCTGACGGAGGCGGGGTCGGGGGACGTTTCCCTGCCCCAATTTCAATCCCTGCGCTGAAAACTCCACTAGAAGCCCCAATAAAATGTTTGTGCCCGCTGCCTTCCTCCTTTATACATTGCCAAACTTATCTGTGTCATTCTTGTGGAAATTGCAAGGAAATCAAATCAAATCATATATCAAAAATTGGCACCCAACAGCTCTCGAGTCAAAATTTTGACCCCGTTCTCGCAAGAATAACACAAAACGCCCAGTTTTTAAAGGATGGTTGTGTGGACGTTTATATCCTACTTTGAAATGCTCTTTCCAATTAACATTATTTCGTTTAAAACGCGCGACTGGCCTAAGGGTAATCCAGGACGTAATGTCCCGTTAACCCGGCTAGCACCTACCCCCAGAACCCAGTAAAAATACATTGCCGATATCTTGTTTCTGCCCACGGCCAAGGTTGTACTTGAGTTTGTTATGACGGGGAACTAAATTAACTCAGCTAAGGAACTTGAAGCCAAAACGCAGATGAAACATATACCCCTCCGCTTACAAAAATCATTAACAGGCTGGCGCATCAACAGCCCGCGGTACGCGTTGTTTTTATTTGCAGCACACATCGTCAATGGATCATGATTATTCAGCTAGTTCGATGTTTATTCATAAGAAAATGACAATGACGTCACACCATTGCTATCACTCACTAATGCATGTACATGTACATTAAAGCACGTCAAAGAACGGCACGTCGTCGAGCTGCCACAGTGGCCAAGTGGATGATGCAGTGCACTATAGATCGAAGATCTGTGGTTCGAACCCTTGCCAGTTTTCATTACATATTTGTGTTGGTTGGGATAGGTTTAATTGATGTTTTAAAATACGACGTATGCTGCACACAAAAATACGCCCACATTACTGTTTGGAGGCGGGGAAATTCAGAGGGCCAGATCAGACAGACACGTGCACCATCGACATATGCATCTAAAGTCTTGTTCCCAGACGCAACTTAATAAGTTTCTTTGGCGTTAGGTCAATTCTTTTGGTGCAAGTCAAGGTGAGTAGATCTTGTTCACTGTAGACCTACCATTAACTATACGTTTAATATAATATTATGCGTGACCTGTATAGTTACGCAAGTTGTTCATTTTGAACTCCTGTGACTCTTCACATCATGTAGGCAAGTGCAGTCATATAGCTTCATTGTATGTGAACAGTAAACAGTACAACAACATTTGACATGCAATTGCAGGAATATTAAATAATTGCATAAGCTACATTATAACAGTTTAGTAAGGATAATTTTACGCAAAATACATTTCTGAACTATCTAATAGCTTAAAGCTGATAATGTAAACAGCTTAAGGTTTAACACAAGCATTTGCAACAACAAATTAAGCTAAAATTCGGAATATGCTTAGATGATACAAGTGTTCAACTACTCGTGAAATAACAAATTGGGAGGATTTTTAGAAATTGAGACAAATATGTATAGATTTTGGGACGTTTTCGAACGATTTCTTCCCAACTTTTAGGTCAGCTTTACCAGTAACCAGAATTGACGATGTTTTCACTGACATGAAGTTTAGAATTTCTCATTACAATTATATTATAATTCTCATTATAATTTACCATTTTAATCATACTGAGCATAGTTTTTGAGAAACACAACGTTCAAAAGGCCATGTTTTTTTGGGGGGGAGGGGTGCATGAATTTCACTGCTCTGTTGTAGCGTCCAAGTACATAAACGGATTTAGTTTAACAACGGCGACGCTTAGGCCTTTGCTCGTTTGAAGCAACATAAGTGCTCAAAATCTAAAGAAGGGTGCTGTACAACTAAAGCTGATGAAGTTTCAGCTCAGCTTCAGCTGTATATTTCGAGAAAAACAACATTCTAGGATCTCGAATTCACATCAAAAGTTGCCAATCATGTTTTGAATTGGGCCTGAATTCAGCGTCCAAGACACGTCCTCACTGAGCCGATTGCAACTACGCGATGTCGCGCACTGATCAGACGAATTATAGCAACAGGGCGCGCGTATACATGTACGTGTGCGTCGTGTCAACGCTTGCGCGCGCTTCGCCAAATAAAAAAAGCCGAACTAATAACGGAAATTTCCAACAGTGCGTCATAAAACGCACCGTTGGAAAGGCCTTCTTTCGTTGATATCTTCAAAATGACAGCTTGCCAGAAAGAATAATTTCACAGGGAGTTTAGTCCCTTACTATCTTTCAACCCAGTATGTGTTTCAACAATAATTACGCTATAGTTACGTTTTGGATAGCTGTAAATGATGAACTCTGGCTTAATTCAAGTTACTATTTACAAAATAACGATTACTACAATAAAACTAACAATTACGTTTCTCAACAGGCATGATGAATGATACAAATATTGTTGTAAGAGGTTCATATGACTACAAAAACACCTAACCATGAAGGCTAAGAGTAAATATGTATATAAAAAATATTGATCTGTATTTGTGCTTTAAATTTATAGTTTGAACTTGAAATTAGTATACAGCAAACATACACGAATAAAATGCGCGATTGTATATCTTTTAGAAGTAGATATATGTAACAAATTGCAGTAATTATCTCACATTATATTAAAAAAAAAAATTTAAATCGCAATAAAGTAGTACTTTCCACTCAACTAATTCAACTAACGCATATTTGTATACAATCCCCTCAAAACTAGAAAGTTAAATATATTGTGTAACTGAAATGTCATATTAGGGATGGGGGAGCGCGAGCGGGCATTCTTCAAACGTGCATCTTCACTTTAAATGTATCCTTAGATGCTAAGTTTGCAGTAGCACCGTGGAGATAAATATGGTTTTGCAACCTCGTGACATTATCTTATCTGTCATCGAGCCCTCTCCGAATGACACTGGAATTCACATAGTGAGACAAGTCCACCGTCATGTATGTCTGTAAATGAAAAACAAAAGAACGTTGGAGTTATCTGTAATGCGTCATAGTTTCAGTCAGCTTATCACAATAGTGATTTTTGAGTTTTGACAGCTTTTGCTTTCGATTTTGTTTTAATCTCTTAGTTAGTCAATTGCTTAATCTGAACATGTTACATTTATATTTAATTTCCTTCATGAGCCGCTCTTAAATGCTTTGTCTCGAAGTTTCTTATTTTGTTAGTCAGTAGACAGTTAAGCATATCAACTTAATCAACGTGGAATATGTTGTAGGATACAAATGCTGCCCAGTATCCCAAATTGAGTGAGTGGGAGTGTCAAATGACATATACCAGGAGAATACAGGCTCACTGCTTTTCATAATGTATTTATTGTCATATTGACATTTCTTTTGAGCGCACCAAGTCTTATCCCTATTGCAACACAGCATATAAAAGGCCCTTGAAATAAACAAACATTGCTCTCTTTTGAGGGGGGGGGGGAATACGCAGTGAAGTATCGCTGGAGGTAACATCCCCAGGATAATGTGTTTTTGCAATGAATGCAATTTCCTCAGCATCAGCAGTAATCTAATACAAAGCTGCATACTCACATGCTGTATCTTATTGTCATCCATTTGTCCCAGTATAGACACCAAGTCGGTGAAGGAGGGTCTGTTGTTGGGATTGTCATCCCAGCATTGAAGCATCACAGAGTATCTGGAAGGGACAAGCATGTAATATACAGTCAAACCTTGTATCAATCTTAACACTGGCATATCACGAAAACATCAAATTCTGAATAGAAATTGCTACTTTCTGGCTTAGATTTGTTTATTCAGACAGCAATATCAAACACATAGTTAAACATTAGTTAAATGTAGTACATTAAAATTTTCGATGTTTAAGCAAATACTATCTGGCGAATTGGGAAATTTAATGGCTGTAAAAACACTAACTCTTTGATGTTTCATAATCAAATGGTTATTAGTAGCAAATGAAAAGATATGTATCTGAGCTTACATTTCCTGGCGACAGTTGCTTGGTTGAGGCATTCGATATCCTCCCTTTAGCCGACCTGCCAACGATGCTGTGTCATTGATAGCTGGATAGGGTGTTCCCCCTGTCAATACAAATACAAATTGGAATGCATTAATTGCAACCGTAGAACTTGGGCTGTGTGTTTATTTAAGCTATTATGGTATACGATTTAACATCTACCACTGGATATTGCAGACCATAATGAGTTTCTTGTGCGATCTATAAAAATCAACTATATGTGTGAAGGTTATTTTGAAAAGTTCAAACTGCAAGTATTCATCTCAATTTAAATTGGAATTAATGTTATGATCAAAGAACATTTATTTCCTCTGTTTAAGCCCCGATCAAAATAATATATCCCAAAGTTTTCCGAAGACAATTTTTTTTTTATGATTTGTTCTTACCTAGAGTTGCTATTTCCCACAGGACAATTCCAAATGACCACCTGAAAAGAAAACAATAACAACGTACTTAATAAAAGGAATACATCATGTATTTAAATACAAAATCGAACGATGAATAATACATCAATATTAGTCATATATGACAAACATAAGGGGAATGGTTAGGATGTATGATCCAGATGAATATGGCCTGCAAACGTTGATTTCTTTCATTTGAAAAAAAAAAACACTACAGTATACTTACACAATGAAAAATATAGGGGTATGGAGTGGTAACCATTTCAAAACTGAAATTCATGATTTAATGACATTAGAATCGATAACGAAGGTTAAAATAATACACTTGTCTAATTGAGAGAGTGACACACTGTATATTTGCTTTGTTTATACTGAACGTAGAACTCCTCAACACGTAGCATAAATGTGGTTGTCAGAGAACCCCAAAACCCGCCCTTTGTCCAAAATTACCAACAAAATTGAAATATTCTGAAGAAACTATCAGGCACATTTCTTTCCTGAAACTGAACTTACACATCACTCTGGGTGGTATAGGTCTGATTCATCAACGATTCAATGGCCAACCAGCGAGTGGGAACACGTCTCTGATAAGTACAGACATTAAAAGAAAAGAAAAACCAGCTTAACTGTTGTTAATGTTGATGTTATTTTTGTCAACAGGTATCAGTAAAGTGCCGAAGAATAACATTTCATGCACTATTATTTTATGGTTCAATTGCCCTCTTGCAACAAGAAGAGTGGTTGTTGAAGTAGCTGGGACAAAGCATGCAACAAGAATTTTATTTCATGAATCAAGAATCAATTACATAAATCCACGACAAATTGACAGGCTGATTTATGATTCAAACAATACAATATCTAAATTACCATTGACATCTGAACGTAAATATCCTCCACCCGGGAAAGTCCGAAATCAGAAACTTTAGCAACTAATCCTTCTCCAAGCAGGATATTTCTTGCAGCCAAATCGCGATGAATCACCTGAAAATAGAAATCGAAGTCAGTTAAAAATGAATGACTTTCTTTCATCAAATATCTTCAGCGGCTTTTCCCTTCATAACAAGTATATTCTTGGCCACCAGTGGGCCTTTTTCATGAGTCGGCCATATTGAATTTAAAGTGAGGTAAAATCTTTATTTTGGAACTTGCGAAGAGAAATGAAAGCAATGACATAAAATAATTGCATAATACCAGTCTACTCTAATGAATAATCTTAAAGTTGTAATTACACATACCCTAATGTTTTAAGCCACCAAAACATGAACGTGAGGCTATAGAATGACAAAATAGTCTGGCACCATCCCATTCAACAGTTCACAATTAATAAAATACATTCAGGGAACCCGATCAAAATGGCTTTAAGGTGAATAAGGTCCATAGGGAAGCCCATGGAGACGTAAATGAAGCATACTGCTATTAAACAGATGTGGGGGCTTGGCAACTTACTCCTGATCGAGAGAGATGTTGCATTCCCATAGAAATATCCAGAGCGAACTTCAACAGATGATCTGAAGTGAGATTACTATCTGACTCTGACAGAGTGGATCTCAGGAAGGTACGAAGGTCACCATGGGGAAGATACTCCATAGCAACATACAGGACATCTTGCCAAATGAAAACAAAATGAAATCACTGAATCGTGGTCAATGGTCACATGTTGATTCCTGTTTCATGCATGTTATGCATGGTGAAAACATAATTCTGGGAAAGAAATGGGTAACTCTCTCTCTTTATAAGTATTCAGGTTGTCCCTGGTCACTATCCATTTAAGGTAAAATTAGTGATGGATTAATTTGCAGGAAAATATCACGTTTGAGTCATATTAAAGGAGTCACCATTTGTTCATAGAAGTATCACCCTGAAAATGAAACGACTGCTTACCAATACCTGCCAGCAATTTAGCTAGGTGTGCAAGTGGTAAGATGTCATCAGTACTAGTAAGAAGAAGATGTAGGTTTAAGTCACAGCCCCAACAGGCTGCTGGTTTTCTTGCAAGCTTTGTACATCGAAGACAGTGCTGGTAAAATTATGCCAAGTAAAGCCAGAACTTCAGACTGATAAGGTATTGAGCTGCTACCAAATGTCGCCTGCTATGCTTACCTTTATGGTAGCATGCTCTTAAGAGAGAGACAACATTGGGATGGTAGCCGATATCTGTCATGGTTCGCAATTCTTTCATAAAATCCTCTTGTTCGCCGGTTGATGCACTGCCTGCAGACACAATGATATAATAATAGTCATCAGAGTAGACATGTGTGCTCATCGGCCGATTAATCAAAAGAGAACGAAAAATGTTTAATTTCAAGGTAGATTCTGTACTACCAAATCAATATTTATTTTTTTAAAAGTGGGACATCAAAATAATATTCTCTGGAAGTGTAGTAGAATACGTAGTTATATCATCCAGTGTCTGACAACTGAAGAAAAAAATCTTCGTAGTTCCTATATAAAAAAAATCTTCGTACTTCCAAGTATCTTAAAAGCAGTCTTAGTCTCCTGTCCAGCAATCTTACAAATATAAGCTTGACTTACTTCGGGGTAATTGTGTCTAAGAAGAAGTCTTAGTCTTCTCTTCATCAATCTAACAAATCAAAGCTTGACTACTGAGCCTCTGAGTATCTTAATAACAGTCTTAGTCTCCTCTCCAGCAATCTTACAAATATAAGCTTGACTTACTTCGGGGTAAATGTGTCTAAGAAGAAGTCTTAGTCTTCTCTTCAGCAATCTAACAAATCAAAGCTTGACTACTGAGCCTCTGAGTATCTTAATAGCAGTCTCAGTCTCCTCTCCAGCAATGTTACAAATCTAAGCTTGAACTACCTCTGAGTATCTTAACAGCAGTCTTAGTCTTCTCTCCAGCAATCTAACAAATCAAAGCTGGACTTACCTCTGAGTATCTTAATAGTAGTCTTAGTCTTCTCCCCAGCAATCTAACAAATCAAAGCTGGACTTACCTCTGAGTATCTTAATAGTAGTCTTAGTCTTTTCTCCAGCAATCTAACAAATCGTAGCTTGACTTACCTCTGAGTATCTTAATAGCAGTCTTAGTCTTCTCCTTAGCAATCTAACAAATCGAAGCTTGACTTACCTCTGAGTATCTAAATAGCAGTCTTATAGTCTTCTCTCCAGCGATCTAACAAATCGAAGCTTGACTTACCTCTGAGTATCTTAATAGCAGTCTTAGTTTTCTCCCCAGCAATCTAACAAATCAAAGTTTGACATACCTCTCAGAATCTTAATAGCAGTCTTAGTCTTCTCTCCAGCAATATTCACAGTTCCAAGTCTGACTTCTCCGAAGTTGCCTTTTCCAAGTACTTGCTCGTCAACAACTAGGTTTCTCCACAGAATTTCCCATCTTGCAGCCCAGGTTGGAAGTCCAATGTCCTCATAATCGATGGATGGTACTATTCCTTCAGCTTCAGCGGTGTCATCGTAGTCGACTAAATCCTGCGAAAGCAAATTACTGGGTTATGTCTTTCAATCTCTGGTTATTAAATGTAAAATAACATGAAATAGTGAAACTTAAGTGGTTATTTTTTAAGTTTCAAATTATATTTAATACTACCTCATTTCAGTCCAAGACAGTAAAGCGCAATATTAGTTTCCAGGCTTAACTCTCGGCCAGTCAACACTGAACAGTAAAATATGTGAATGTTAGATGTGCTGTTGTTGTCCAAAGACGAAACTCCGAGTTCCTTCGATTAGTGAAGGGTATATACACGTGTACGTCTACTATTATATATTGAGGATTAACTTACTTACCAAACCAATAGCTGGCATATTGTTCTGTGGCTTGCGGGATGCATGTTCTGGTACCTATGAGAAATAGTAAGATATAAAAACAAAACCCAGGATTAGTTCAATTATGTTGCAGCGATTAGAGGTATCAAAAAGAGACATAGAAAACAGACAGAATGAGGGGGTAGGTGAAATAGAACAAACGTGATGACATCATCTTTCCTATTCAGCAATAAACTGAGTGATAGGAATGTGATTGAGTCCGCCAGGAATACTGAAGTAAAAGGTGAAAATACGCCACTGTTTAAACCCAGCAAAGTGTAGATATTCACGGGTAAGTCTCTTTGGCAAAATAAGGTAAGCCGAAAATGTGTAGGTGGACTCAGACCCGTGAAGCAAAAATGTGCACATGTTTAAACATACTTGTGTCAAAACATGTGCATATGAGTAATCACAATCTTTGGAAGTTTTATAGCCTTGGTACAAATGAGGTGTGCGTCTTACAAACTTCAATTTTGAAAGGTTCTGACTGAGATTTATTATTATTATTATTATTATTTATTCGACCAGGACAAATCTTACAAACAAATATGACCCAAAACAACATACATGAACATTAAGGAAAACAAAAAAAAAACAATAAAGAAGTAAACAAACAAACTATCGAACAAATCAATAAATAAATAAGTAGACAATACAAAAATTAAAAAAAATAAAAAAATTAAATAAATAAAATAAAATAACAAAACATATTAAATAACAAAAAAAAACAGTAGAAGAGAGCAACTAGGAACCGACTCTGACTGGCTGAAAAAAAGAATGAATTAATTAATGAACGAATGAGGGTGGTGTATGCAGGAGGGGATCTAGGCCATGAAAGGGGAAGTATTAACAAACAAAGGACAAAACTAACGACGAAACATACGGGCCAGGGACAACAAAAGTAAACTGAATTACTGTTGCTCGGAAGCATGCTGCCCCACGTATGATGAACGAAGAAAAGAGGATTAAATCAAACACAAAGAACAGGGACTGGAAGTATAACAGGGCCTATATAATCACGACCTGCATACACCAAAAGTGAACGTCTAGGAAGTTGACGGAGAAATGTTGGCAGAGGACAGATTACAGCAGCATCCCGAGTTTCAGGTGGAACAGTGTCCCACAATCTGGGGAATCGATGGGAAGCCGAGTGAAACAAGGACTCAGTACGAGCATAGAGATGGCGAAATGTGAGCGAGTCAGGATGACGAGGATTTATGGAAATATTCGCAAGAATTGATTCGCAGTGAGCAGTGCCATGCAAAACCTTGAAAACAAAGGCACTGAGGAGGTAGCTGCGCCTGTTTGTTAGAGGATGCCAGATTTGACTGCAATGTACCTCACCTGTGATACCAGGGACTTGGTACTTTTGTACACTTGTACTATGGTCACATCTTCAGTTTAAAATAGCTACTGCAATGATGTTGTCTAAGTAATGATATGTTAAGAAAATCTACAACCGTTCACGAAAAACATCCACGCCCGAAGAATTGCCCACAGTAACAATTTCATCGAGCCAAGGACATTCTTTTCTTTTCTTCTCCATACTTTTCAACCATATACTTTAAACCTTACGGTGGATTTAGAAGACAATTGTTTGGGAGGGTCTGATTACAGGTACCCTCTGGGACACCTGAAACCCATAAGGTTTATTATCAATTTAAACCAAACTTACCATCTCCATAGCTAAGCTAGAGCGATGAGGAGTCCTTTGCTTCATCTTCCTCCAGATAACAATGACGACTATTACAACCAGTAATGTAGCCAACACACTGACTGCAGCCACAAGAATAACAGTGATGTCCTCATGACCAATCTCTAATCATGAAAAAAGTGCATGAAAATAATCATGAAAACTAAAATTCAATACTTTAATTACCTCTATACAATAAAAATCAACACTCTATGATGCAACATGCCTACAAATAGAACTTTATTACAAAATTAACACTGGCATTGAAGCATTTGCTATCATGCACAATTTTTCATTGAGCTTTGACAATACAATATCCTGACAGAAGATGGATTATTGTCAACAAAAAATGACGTCTTATAGGGTCAGATAGTATAGCGTACGATACATGTATCACATGCCATGTGAGTGGGGTCTCAAGGGACAAATTTGGGATTAAATTGAAGTTTTATAAACGGAAATTCATCGACATCAATTCAATAATCTATGCTATTGTTTTGGTGGACTTACTTATTTCACAGTCTTTCCCAGCGTATCCTGCAGCACAAATGCATGTGTAGGCATTAATACCATCCTCACATACACCGTTCACACATGGGTTCGGGTTACAATCATTGGTATCTGGAATTACAGATGAAATGAATTCTCAAAGGACTGCAATGTGGTATGACAGCGGCTAGATTGCAGAAAACAAGGAGGGCACTCTTAATGAAATCACCTCAGAATTTTTGCAAACATTTAGTAGGACGATATAGTTACTTTTGATTTTTTCCGAGACAAATAGTGTTGTAATTGTGTCAATTGGCAATAGCCCCCCACCCAGATTTTCCCTGGCGAACAAAATTGCTCCTCTCGCGGTAATGTGCCTTCTCGAGATGAAAACTAAAGTGCCCCTCAAACGTACACATGAAAGCATAATGACATATACTACAAATACTCAATTGATTATTGTATCAGTGCCCAACTCGCAACATTAAAAGTGTGCCCATTTAAAGAGGTTGTGGAGTGCTCGAAGACATTTCCGTCATTTTTCGGGTATATGTAGCCTAAGGTGTGATGAAATAAAAACGAAATAAATGAATACAAAAGGTACTTTTGAGAGCTGTTTTTCAGGTCCTGTTTCGACCCGAACGTGCAATTTGTGTAAAGGTCGTCGTTGGGGGCAGCAAACAAGACATACTAAATCGTGACGTAATAAACAGGACTCGTTTATACTACGCTGCATAGGGAGTCCTGTTTATTACGTCACGATGCGTCTTCGAGCATTCCACAACCTCTTTAAAAATTATAGTACTTCTCACGGGAATAAAATGGTCACTAAGCTGGCCATAAAAAAAACACTGTCCCTCTCTCGATATAAAATTTGGTCTCTCTACATATTAAACAAGTCAAATTCATGGGCGGACCCAGAGAGGTTTAACTGCGAAGGCCGGGGGCGGAGGGTGTACTGTATGCCGAAAGGCAAGGGCGGATCCAATGGGGGGGGGGGAACGAAACAATTTTTTTTTTTTTTTTTTTTTTTTCGCCACAAAAAAGGCAGCCACATACGTACACCACCATCTTTCACCAAAATTAGTTAAAGTGGACAGAAATTGCCTCATATCGCACCGCAGAGCATCGAAAATCTTTCTTATTTTCGGGGTCCGCTTGAACCCACTTTTTGGGGGACCACATTATTTTGCCCCCCTCCCCCACCCTAAGAAAAAGACAATTATGTTCTCGATCCGCCACTGCGGAGGCCGAAGGGCTCTCAATTTCATGGTGCCCCCATTTCTTGATAAGTGGCCCTTTTGTGTGTCCCCCCAGTTTGAAAAGCGTTCTGCCGCCCCTGGCTGTATAATGTATTCACACTTGAGATTTACCTTCGTTTTAATAGCAATACATCTGTCTGTAGGCCTACAATAAGATTCTCCGCGTTACCTTTGACAGTAATTGCTGGATCTATGTGTAATGTGGTCACTCCATCAGTTAATATTCCCTCGGCTGCTTTAGTTGTTAGCACATCCAGGATTATACTAACAGTTACAGTAGAAATAGCTGCCGCTCTAACTACACCAGTAAACACAACGCTGTCCGACTCAACATGAAGAAGAACACCACGAACACTTTCTATGTCTCTGGTTGCTGTGTTATTTAGAAGCTCAAACTGGATCTGAAATGCAACAAATATGTTGACCTTAATATTCAAGATTTCGTTAGCTCGAATTATAAGACCGAATTAAACACAGATGACTTGCTGTCTGTCCCAATAACTATGCTGGAGTTAACTATCTGCTGATGGACCAAGTTAGAGTAAATCATGGAGGAATATTTCTCCATGAGTAGACTAACCAGACCGAGTATACTGATATTTGAAGTGGACTGACAGATATAATATGTGCATGGATCTACAATTATTAAGGTAATCAACTGTTGGTGGTTGACAGTAATATTACAAGCGCGGATACAATAATATATCCCGACTTGCTACCAAACTACTGTCTTTAACAAAGGAAATCAAATCATCCACCAATTAAAATTATGTGGACGTATCATTTAAGTCAAGTCAGTGCTTCCAAACGGGAGTTGAGAAGCATGTAGCTACGATTCGATTTTCTTGAATTTTCTAATTAGATCCATGTCATTAAACTGTATGATAATCTTTTTCTAATTCCAAAACATGATTCCTTGTGACATAATTTTGCTTGAGGTGCATCATCAACTAAGCTACATAAGCACAATACAGTGGCATACTTTTAATAGTCTGGATTAATTATGGAAGCTGCATATCAACTAATTGGTTTTAACAAAACGAGTAAATATCTCAGGTGTGACTTACCACTCTGGCAATTGTGGCTAAAAATTCCTGAGAGCCTTCAGAGTTCGAATCGCTGAAGTCTATTTGTATTTTAATAGCTGTTCCATTTATACCCCGGACGGTCAGTATGACCACTACAGACTTGAAACCTAGAAACCAATGAGAAAAAGGTGATGGAAAAACAATCAAAACAGTATAACATCAACACTTATATTCAGAAAAATAAGATCTGAATTTGAATATCATTATTCAACATCCATTTATGCCGTGCAACTTGGGTAAAGATAAGAATTGTGTACACATTTAGATTAATTTCAACCTTTTCTTGCTTTTTATCCAATGAAATTAGTCCGTCAGTGGTTATGTACTTGTTGTAGTGTTTAATTATTTTATTGTGAATTTTTAATGCAGATTTTATTGTGTGTTTTTATTGTTAATGTAGTGTATCTTTCTTTATGAATTGTGCTGTTCTATTTACCTGAAAATGTAATAAATGAAATGAAATGAAATGATCTGTTTATTGACCACATTGTAGAAATGGCTGCTAATTTTGTTCAAATTTTCACAGGTTCCTTCCATTTTTAGAGACTGTCCCTAGAGTTACAATGCGCAGATAGTGTAACAAAATAAGCTGCAACTGACCATCTCTTGTGCAGGTGTTTGTATCTGAATTAAGGAAGTACCCATCCAACTCAAGACATTCACATTGATATCCATCAGGGGATTCATAGGGGTCTGGTACACAATATTGACCCGTCATCTCAGAACATGGATCAGGTGTAGCTATACATGGGTCTTTCACTGTAGAATGAAAAAAAAATGACAGATGAATTAAATCAGATGGAATTAAAAAATAAGAAATAAGAGTATATAAGATTTTGTCTTTGAAAGTTACATCCTTTCACTGAGTCAAGATTAGATTTCACATACAAATTTAAGCGATTTGGCTTTAAAAATGGCCAGTTTTGCCCTTCATAACGCACTTCAGGAATATGTGCAATTCCAAAAATGATGCCATTAGCCAAGATCTTTCACACATGCAAGTTTTGTCTGACTAGGTTCTCAGACGATAATAATATACCAACACGTATTTCAAGACAATCTGCATATGTATAACTTGAAGTAGGATGGCACATTATGGATTCAAAACAATAGAAACGAGGTAGAAAACATTTTGCCCTTTCCGCTTTGGTGAAAAGACGGTTAAAGTAAGGATTGTTTTTAAATCAATCAATCCATTATTTGCTTTGCACAGACTTACCCTCACAAGTAACACCTGATGATTCAGCAGGACATATACACTGACAATATTCAGTAGACAGTGATCCACCATTCAAACAGCTATTTTCAGACAACGAACATTCTGTGCCAAAAGAAAATCAATAAGTAAAAGTGCAAGATCTGAACATCCTTGCATTTATCAGTAGATTTGTGAACAACGCGTACCAATGACAGCAACATAAACCATTAGTTGTACAAATATTTACAGGGTATATCACAAAAGGCAACCAATATATTAATGGGTTGTTTGGAAAAGATGATCATTAGCACTGTCAGAATAGATTTCAGAGGATTTTCTTTACACCTTAACTTGAAACCGTGTTCCCATTTGCATAACTCTGACTTATTTCACCAATGACAGATTGTACATGATTAGCATTGTGTCGGATCAATTAAGTGCGTAAGCTTATTATTAATCAATTTGAATATCCTGAAAAAAAATCTACTATGAACCTAGGTTAACATGTCGTATTCGTCATAATAAATTAGAAAGAATGACATTTTTCACGATTAAAGTGAATAATTTAGCCTTTACCCGAGTTAACATATTCCTATTGGTCGACATCCGGTCACGTGGGTGGTTTTGAACTACCGCTTAAACACCAATACCCAGCAAACGTACTTAAAGAGATTTGGTACGCGGGTTCTTATATATTCTTATATAACTTGCTTGCAAGTTTAATCTACACTTTGGTTTAATGGGGCAGTTTTGGGTTAATAGTAGGTTAAACTGTTGGTGGTGAGCAAAACTGAATATCATAGTTATGTCATCCATGGCTAAAAAATCCCTGTGACATCTTAGACCTATTTTTTCACTTACCTGTACAAGAAGGTCCAACCCAACTCAGTGCACATCCGCAACGACATGTCTGTAAGTTCAGGGTTCCTCCATTTAAACATCCCAATGAACAAACTGTAATGATTATGATTAAATGAAAACAAATATTAAAATTGACAGTGAGGCATCCTCTGCTGACTATCACTGTGCCTTGTAACGTTACACCTTGCAATAAGTGACAGGGGATACAAGGCGAGTAAAAAAAACGAAACCCAAATGTCGGGACCATTGATCAGTGCGCGCGTCGATTGTAATCATGAGCGTCAACCTTTTTTTTTCTTCAAATTAACACGGAAGCTACAACAGCGCCCTCTATTGCCGCGCCTCCTCAAACTTTTGTACCAAGGAGCACCAAGGAATGGGGAAATTGCACCAAGGCAAATGATAAAGGGCACCAAGGCAAATGATGGAGGACATCAATGTATAATGAGGACACAAAAAAGCAAAAATAGTACCCACCTTGTCTGTACAATTGAAGTTTGAAAAAAAAAAGCCACCAAAAAAAAGAAAAGGCGTCGCCGCATCAATTCCGGAACTTCGGTCTGACTAGAGACCGATTATTTTTTTTTTTGGCCTTACTCACCCTGTAAATGTCAACCGACTGAAAATTGAATGTTTCGCACAATGAGCCATAATGATGTCAAATCAACAAGAACAATTTCCCGATAATTGAACATCAACATGTTGCATAACAAGTGATGTTGGCTAGGCCAGAAACTAAGGCTACCTAACGATCTGGATTTGGGGAAGTGCGAAAGGTAAAATGACTCATCATGCATCGATTTATCCCCAAGCAAACTTGACTGTTCGAACCTCATTGGGCAAACCACCTCAGCAACAGTGCTGTATTTTCCCTATTCAGTCTTTTGCATTCAGCAGCAATCTTTGTTATTTTTTGTTAAAAAGGAATTGGTTTCCTACCTGTGACATTGAATGTGAAGTTCTCTGATGTAATACATCCGCCATCATTAATCACTGTGCAGTTGATCGTATGAGATCCAACTCCAAACACACCTCCTGTTAGACTGACTTCATCTTCTGATGAGTCTGTACATGTGATGGGTTGATCATCAGATGTAGTCGCAGTGACGGCTGGCCAAGTTACTGATGCATTTGACTGGACCTCATCGGTAAACTGTTCACCAACGGTTGACAGGGTTAGAGACGGTGATACTGTACGGATGACATTATTCATAATGTTGATTATGTATTTTCAAACTCGATCGTCACCTTTTGCTGAGACAGTGTCAGGTGGTTAATGATGCTGGTGTTACTTACTTGTTACATTGAATGTGAGTATTGCAGTCTCCATTCTCCCATCTGAGAATCGAGCAATACAGATGACAGAATGAGATCCAACTCCAAAGATTCCTCCAGTAACGTTCACATCCATTCCATCTTCAGAATCTTGACAAGTTACACTAATGACAGTCGCAGTTTCTTTATCGATGCCAGTAACTTCATTCCACGTCACTGATACAGGTACTTGACCAGCAGTGATACACTGAGTGCTGATGGTTGGCACTAGTATAAAGGATGCTACTGAGACATGAATATCAAATAAAGTAGGTGTATGCGTTTAAGTATATTATACGGAAAAGAGGAAAGGGCATGCCAATGAAGTATTTCGTGGGTCAATGTTATCTTGCTACTGGAAAATGGGTAAGCTTACACGGATACTTACGCGAACAAAAAATACCAAGAGAAGACTAATACTGTCTGCTCAAACATATTGCCAAATAACTTTAGAAACAGTAGGATCATACAACCTGTCATATATTTTTCTGAAATGCTCTAATAATATGAAAATAGCAAATTACGCTGATATTGAGTCAAATGACTCCAGTGCTTTATGTACATCCATGCTTCATTTACCACGAGTATTGAAAACAAATAGTAATTCTGCCTTTCATGAGTTCAAGTAAATAAATAAAACACTGAGAGGTCTTTGACTTGGTGGAAAGTGTTTCAAAGAAGTTTAACATACAATGATGACTTTCCTCTGATTTTTTTAATAGAGCAGCGCATGATGTCAGTCACCTAATGACTTTGAGAGATAACTCACGTTGACTGCAGATGAAGTTGTTTTTCGTATTGCATCCATCGTCGCCCCATGCGTTGTTGATGTCAGTCCTTTCTCCGCTTAATTCATCGGTATAAATGAAGACACAATCCTGTCCTTGCCCTCCATCTGGTTCAGCTGGACTTTTGTTTGTATTCCAGAAGAAAACTTCCTGACAGACAAACGCAAATGATTAAAAAAAATCATAAACGACTGGATCAAGATTTAATGTGCCTATTTGAAAAGTAATTTTATCAGTTATAAACCCAGTAATAAGTGTCCTATGTAAAAAAAAATAATAATAACTTGACAATGATTATATTCAGAGATTTTCTCACTTTCAATGTCTATCTCACAGGTCAACCATTATCCATTACTAAACGAAATAATTCTCCATCTAACGACAGTAAATTAATGATAGCATTCTGAGTCAGTAACAGGTTCTTTAAATAAAGTTGTACTAACAAGTAACAGTAAATGATACAGTGGGCAGCTCTTTATGCTGCTTTGTGCTTTTTCACGATTGTAGTTGTCAAAGTGATATTGCACTCAATTGGGCTGATTGAATCTCCTATTCCTAGAGATAGTGAAGAGAGTAAACCCTTTAATCAAAGCTCTAAATGTACTTCTTATATCTACCTATTGATCTTATAAAAAAAGATTTTAAAAAAAAAATACTGAAAAACAACTGACTATAGCAGTTCCATCAATCCAGGTATAGGTCTCTTCGGAAACTAGGTCATTCAGTCCAATCCAGTACTCACTGTTGTCATCAACAAGGTTTGCTGATTGTAAAATGATTGTAAAATATTAATATTTCATTAATTAATTATTACTTATTAATTATTATTAAACATTAATAAGGTCAACTAGGAGTTTTCGGGGTTAATCGTGGTCATTCAGTCCCGGCCAGTACTCATTGCCTTCAACACGGTTTGCTGATAGCAAAATATATAACTGAAATATAAACAGTGTCAGGAGTGTTTAACACTCCTGACACTTTTGATATTATTTGCCCATTATTATTTTAATATTTATTGATGACATCACGTCGGTGACTGAGAATGGTAAAATTGTCCATTATGCTGAAGACACTTCTATTTTTTATTCAAGTAAAGATATTCATCAGATTAACTTGTATCTAAACCGTGATTTCAGCAGCGTATCCAGCTTTTGTTGTCAGGGGGCAACTGCACATCCGCGCCGAAATGTACACATGTTTTTCTCCGGACACTTGGCCTCCGTAAAATCAAAAAGCGGAGGGGGGGGGGCTGTTACCCATCTTCCAAATGGGGGCGCTCTTCGAAACTGACCATTATTATACATACTTTGCATTGTATTGGTTGTTGAGCGGGATTTCTTTGGTGGGATTAATGGCAAAAAAACTCTCGAAATTTTTTTTTCAATCATTGCTGACAAAAAAAAGTCAGGGGGGGGGGCAAAGTTCCCCCCTGCCCCCCCCCCCCCCCCCCCCTCCTCGCTGGATACGCCACTGCGTGATTTGCAGAAAATATCAAACTGGCTTAATGAGAATAGATTAAAATTTAATACTACCAAGTAAAAAAGCATGTTGTTTGGTTCAGCCCAAAAATTTGCTAGATGTGAATATCCCAATATTGATATTTTTGTAAATGACAATTGCCTGGAACAAGTAACCCCTTATAAATATATTGATGTTCACACTAATTGTAAAATGAAATGGATTGAACATATTGACCATGTAGCATCTTCCGTATCTAAAAGAATAGGCATTTTGAATAGACTTTAAAATGTCTTGCCTACACGCACCCTTAACCTTATTGTGACAAGTCTTTTTTTCCCTCAGTTTGATAATTGTGATCTTATTAAGGAGTAGTGCTTCCAAAACCCTGATGCAAAGGCCTGAGTTATGGCAGGACATATGACATTTTTTGTTAAGGAGAACATGTTGAACGTACTTAAGCAACCATTAAGCCGACAGTCTGCCACCAAGTCAGAAGCCAATTGTTGCCATATGGTAACTTACCCAAACAGACTACTCACCATAGATGTACTGTTGTTGTTGGTGTGTGTGAATGCTGGCAAGATGTCCACCATCAGCAACGCATGCAGCTTCAGCCTGAGCCCAAGACAGCCTGTCTCCTTGTGAGGGAATATAGACAAGTTTGTAGCACATAGTCCCAACACGGTGCCACCCATTTGTGCAGGAATTGCCTGATGTTAAGAAAAATAATAACTTGGTGTCAGGTCGTCAGATACATGAGGAAATAAAAAAGAAAGCAACTTTCTAACTGAACCATAAGAAGAAATAGTAACTCTTTCAAACAAAATAATATTGAAAAATAAATAATGAAATCAACAATATATTAAGTGGTGTATTTACATTACAGGTATATTCAAAAATGGAGCCTCTGGAAAGAGTCTTTCCTTTAATGTCTCAAAAACAATATCATGAGAGTCATGTACATTGTATGTCGGCATACACATGAGTTACAGAACAGGGTGATCTAATATCAATTTTAATGGGCACTTAAGGGGTTAAACAAATTGACTCACTTGATGAGCAAGTATTTCCTGTCCAACTTTGTGTGCAATTACATCGGCAACTTTCCAAATCCAATGTTCCTCCGTTCAAACACATCATGGAACAAACTGGGGGAAAGCAAATTCTTAAAATTAAGGCAGAAAAAGAACAATATTCATGATTTACGCAATTAAGCAAATGCTTCAATTTTATGGGAAAAGGGGATTCACAATTCTTTTGTTTAAATGTGATACAACAGCCACAAACACAAACCAGCTTTTGTTTATCTTTGTTTACTCCCCCCAAAAAACAGCAACAACAACAATAACAACAACAACAAACAATAACTGAACAACAACAAAAACATTTTGATCACTAAACCTTTAATATAGTAGGACGCATCAATAAACGTTTGCATCCTACCTGTGACATTGAATACGAAGCTCTCTGATGTAATGCATTCACCATTATTAATCACTGTACAGGTGACTGTTTGAGATCCAACTCCAAACACACCTCCTGTAAGACCGACAGCAGCATCTCCTGATGAGTCTGTACATGTGATGGGTTGATCATCAGAGTTGGAAGCAGTGACTGCTGGCCAAGGCACTGTAGCATTTGACTGGAATTCATTGATAAACTGTTCACCAATACTTGGCAGAGTCAGAGACGGTGATACTGTACGGATGATATTAAGAATAATGTTACTTGTCTTTTCAAATTCAATCCATGTGTTTAATGTAATCAGCACGTATTGCTAAAAGACAGTGTCAAGTGGTTGTTGATGCTGGAGTTACTTACTTGTAACACTGAATGTGAGTATTGCAGTCTCCAAACTCCCATCTGAGAATCGAGCAATACAGATGACAGAATGAGTTCCAACTGCAAAGATTCCTCCAGTAACGTTCACATCCATTCCATCTTTAGAATCTTGACAAGTTACGCCAATCACAGTTGCAGTTTCTTTATCGATGGCAGTAACTTCATTCCAAGTCACTGATACAGGTGCTTGACCAGCAGTGATACACTGAGTATTGATGGTTGGAACTTGAATATAGGATGCTATAAAACATAAACATTATCGAAATAGATACAGACAGAGTTTGTATTTTAGGGACAAAGGCGAGGGCAGGGATTATTATTGTGTCAATGGTATCGTTATATACATAGACAACAATTGTGGATAAGTACAAGACATACCGGTATAATGTCTACTAAAAAAAAAGGAGGATATTTTGTCAATTACGTTTAAAAACACTACTATTACAAAACCTTTCACATGTATGTCTGAACTGTGCTATTATTATGAATGCTGCAATATCAACCAACATACCAATTTACCGCTGGCATAAACTGTAAACAAGGTTTTTAACATGGGTACAGAAAGTTGGTTTTGGCTCCTGAAGTACTTGGGGGGGGGAATGAAATACTATCGGGCCTAATTCAATCAAAATATACTGCTGGTATATCTCGAATGATTTTCATTATATGACGATATCGCTGTAGTGTGGCATAACTCACGTTGACTGCAGATGTAGTTGTTTTTCGTATTGCATCCATCGTCGCCCCATGCGTTGTTCATGTCAGTCATTTCTCCGCTTAATTCATCGGCATAAATGAAGACACAATCCTGTCCTTGCCCTCCATCTGGTTCAGCTGGAATTCCGTTTGTGTTCCAAAAGAAAACATCCTGAAAGGCAACAAAACATGAAATTATATCTTTCAACTTGGTTTGATATTCTCTATAACTATCCCAATGGATTCATCAGTTTTTAGCCCAATGGTCCTATATAAAATAACTCGATAACGAATATTTTGAGTATTTCACACCGTCTGACTCACGGGTAAATCGTTATCAATGGTACCTTGACAAGTACGCGTACTAATTTCAAAGAAATAATTTTCGAACTGAACAACAAATACTCTAATTTATGTAACTCCGTTACATTATAAGTGAGCAATGGATTATTTTAAGGTGTTATTGCCGTGCTATTTTCGGGTTTCACCTCGACAAATAGATTTGTACGTCCTATAATCCTACAATTTAGTCAGTTTTGAAGACGTCTTACGAAAAAAATTATTTGTTTTCACAAAAATGCGAATATTTGCCATTCGGGAGATACTGAGCATTAGGTAGACATATTTTCTCTTTAATGCTTTAACTATTATTTCTGGAAGGGAAATTTCAGTGTCGAAAGTTCCTTAAAACAAAATACAAAAGTATAATTGAAAGGTTCGGGCATGACATTGGTTTAAATAGGGTGATGGGAGAGTTTTTGTATTGATTTATTTATGCAGAAGTCTATAATTGTCTCCAACAACATGAATAAAACTGCTGCAAACTGTTCACTGGATTAACCTGGAATACAAAATCAACAAACTTAGAGCGGCCTACTATTTCATCCTTAGCAAGGACTTCTTCATAGGCAAAGCAAATGTTGAAACGGCACCTTAGGTGTGTTTTTTGTGCCTCTGAAGAAGTCCTTGTTGAGGATGAAATATTAGGCCGATCAAATGTTTTGAATTGTCTCTAAGGTACCATTCTGGGTTATTATTTCATGTACATCTTATCTACATACGGATCTAGCGAAATACATGATAAGAAACTCACTGTATTAGCTCCATCAATCCAGGTATAAGTGCCTTCTGCACCCCTGTCATTCAGTCCCAGCCAGTAATAGTTGCCTTCAACAAGGTTTGCTGATAGTAACATAATAATGAAACATTAATAGGATCGGCAGTGGTCATTCGGTCCCAGGCAGTTCTCAATACGTTCAACAAGGTTTGCTAACCATTAAAATAACTTGGCTCGGGAGAGTTTAAGGGTAATCATGGTCAGTGCATCGCAGTCAGTGTTCCTTCAACAAAGTTTGCTCGCACTTACAAAGCCATACAGCCCGACCCCGGCAAATACTCAGAGAATTCCCTTCAACAAAATATCTCCCTCATTTTGATTTTTGATGTACAGATTGAGGCTCGTCTGTTGTGATTAGTAATAGGGAAACATGCAGAGCCCCTAAAGGGAAACGTCCAACAATATCATAACATTGTGCGTACGACATATAAATTATGCGCACGAGGATGTAAATTTATTTTGGGCATGTCCCTTTGGCTCCGAAGAAACATGTGTGGACAATGGAACTTAAATTATGGAATTGTTACCCGAACAATTAGGCCATGCGACATTACACATTTTTGGTTTTATTTTGTGAGGGAAATATTATTGAACCTAATGCAACAAGCCGGCTGTCAGCTATTAAGTCAGTGTTTGCGATATGGCGACATTATAGAAGATAGATGTACTCACCATAGATGTAATGCTGCTGTTGTTGGGTATGAAGGCTGGCAAGATGTCCTCCATCAGCAACGCATGCAGCTTCAGCCTGAGCCCACGTCATCCTGTCTCCTTGTGAGGGAAAATAGACAATTTTGTAGCACATGGTCCCAACACGGTGCCAGCCGTTTGTGCAGGAATTGCCTGAAATAAAAAAGGGAATAAATAACTAAATGTCAAGCATCCACATATATCGGAGAAAGGACTGAAGGCAACATTCTAATCTACATACAGTGAATTGGTTATTATTTTTATCCAAACAAGAAATTCAGAATAATGATAGTATGAATTAATAATAACGACTATTTCCTGGCAATAGCACATGTTGTTATCTAAAACCCAGCAATATACCTAAAGCGTTTGTATATGAGAGAGTACCATGATTGATGTTAAATGTAACCATGTTATTGTAGCATAGGCCCTGTGTACACTTATTCATTTCCATTAAAAGTTGCACACACGTATTGTTAATCCCTACCTGAATATGTTTCAGCTTTTTAACACCCTGTTTCGAAAAATCTTCTTTTTTCATCCACTGAAATTGACTGCATATTTTGTACTGACCAGTGGCGTATCCGGGGGGGGGGTGGGGGCAGGGACACCTCAGTAAGTATTTCAATCAATAGTTAGAGATTTCTGACATCAACCCCCAAAAAAGAAAACAGCTCAAAAACCATTACAATGCGTCGTAAAAATCGACATAGGCCTTTATTTTTTCAGTATGCATAATAATGGTGAGTTTTGAAGAGCGTCCCTATTAGGAAGGTCCCAGCCCCAGCTCCCCCCCCCCCCCCCGGCTTTTTGATTTTACGGAGGCCAAGTGTCCTGAGAAGAAAAAAAAACATTTCAGCGCGGATGTGCGGTTAACCCCTCCCCCCCCCCCCACATCAAAAGCAGGATACGCTACTAGTGCTAAGACAAATTCATAAGGTGTTTCCAATAGGACTTGAACCCCAAATCCCAAGCTAGGGTTTCCTAGAGAGCAAGAAGTGTGACTCACGTGATGCTGAGCACGTGTCTCCAGTCCAACTTTGTGTGCAGCCGCATTGGCAACGCTCCAAATCCAATGTTCCTCCATTCAAACACATCAATGAACAAACTGTGGAGGAGAAAATAAGGAACAATAAAAAGATGACGGCAAAAGAACGCTTTCTCAGTTATGTAAACGCTAATGCTCCAAAATCTATTCCAAATTTGAAGGGAAGAGGAAAAAATAATCCTTTCATGTGAAGGCGCTAGCACGATCTTGGGCCAAATACAAACCGGTTTTATCTATACCAAAGTAGTATGACAAGGGCATAATACATTCTGATCAGCAGACCACTGATATGTTGAGACACATTAATACATAAACAAACTTTTGCATCTTACCTGTGACATTGAATGCGAAGCTCCCTGATGTAATACATCCGCCATCATTAATCACTGTGCAGTTGATCGTGTGAGATCCAACTCTAAACACACCTCCTGTAAGACCGACTGCAGCATCTCCTGATGAGTTTGTACATGTGATGGGTCGATCATCAGAGTTGGTTGCAGTGACTGCTGGCCAAGTCACTGTAGAGTTTAACTGGACGTCATTGGTGAAATGTTCACCAACAGTTGGCAGGGTTAGAGATGGTGATACTGTAAAAAATAATATCAAAAGTGTTAATTAGGCCTATATATAAGGCCTCATAATAATTATATAAAGAGCATCCACGGAAACAGGAAAAGTTACAATCATCTCCTTTTTTTGGAAGTAACCTTCAAGTCAGAAGAAAGGAAATATTTCTCAACTTGTATGCAGTGGAGAAAGAAATGGCAGATTGTCCATTTATGTGATTGCCCATAAATACTCCTCAACATTTTTTATTTAAAAAAAAATGCTATATAAATTAGCTATTGCCGATATTTACACCACAAAGGTTATGGAGAGTCATGCGAAGTAGGACCAAAATGAAGCTGCATTTAACACACATGCAATCGGCACGTTTTTCTTTCACGTCACGCTGGAAGCATTCATGTAGCAATGAGTACATGTATATTGTTAGACCACAGCGGGTATAAGCCAAGGCCATGATGACGACCAAAAAAAACGGTTTGGGCTACAATGATGTCATCAACAGCTTCAAACTAAATTTGACACGCACAAAGAAACGGTAATGCAAAAAAAAAACATTTCAAACAATCTTCAAGCATCTGCAAGCTATTTTTATGTGTTATTTTTATATAAAGAGCATCGGTGGGGTTTTTTTTTCGAAACCCCCCCCCCCCCGCCTTGCGTCCTGATTTTATGACATTATTTGTAGCAGTTTTCCATACTTAGTTAAAGCAGAATCTGAGAAAAGTGAAGGGATTTTACGTTATTTTGCATCACACAATGTCAGCCCATGTCAAATTGGCTGACACTGTATCAAATAATGTTTGTGTAATGCAATGCACGTAATGCAATACACGTAAAAGAACCCAGTAACACTTTTCGCTAAGATGGGGTTTGCCCTGGTGTGTCGTGCCTCCTGTTAAAACTCCCATGCGGAGTACTTTGGAGAAGAACCAACAAAGTACCAACAAAGTACCAAGATAGATATTACATGCACAGATTATGTTACTGATGCTATATACTTACATGTGACATTGAATGTGAATCCTGCAGTATACACACTCCCATCTGAGAATCGAGCAATACAGATGACAGAATGAGATCCAGCTCCAAAGATTCCTCCAGTAACACTCACATTTCTACCATCTCCAGAGTCTTGACAAATTACACCAATGGCAGTAGTAGACGTTTTGTTGCCAGAACTTCATTCCATGTCAGTGACACAGGTGCTTGGCCAGCAGTGATACACTGAGTACTAATGGTTGGCACTAGTACATATGACGCTGCTGAAACACAATGTTATGCAAATAATTTTTTTTTTTTAAATAGTTGCAAAGAGCATTAAACAGATAGCAAGATGCTTTTTTTTTTATTGCTTGGAGGTATTTTAGGCTTCAAAATTCAGGTCCTCAAAAATCGATTGCCTTTATTTCAGTCATATATTGTTTTTTTTAAGATTGCCCGAAACACATGCTTTCCTTACTGTTGGGCCTTTTTTATTCAGGCGAATTTGCACTATAAACTCGCCGGTTTATTGTATTTTCAGGTTTTTATATAACACTTTTTTTCGAAATAGTTAATTTTGTCCTTCCTCCATTGAGATTGTTATAAGCACTGCATACTTGGTAATACCAAAGAAAATAACAGACAAATTCATAAGGCTGCTTCAATGAGACTTGAACCCCAAACCCCGACTTCACAAAATGTAGCAGCACGAGTTGCATGTAACATGTATGTTGGCAATGAAGGGGAAAAAACAGAATTGCAGTCAATCATGGAAGGGTGTCCTAGAGAGCAAGAAGTGTGACTCACGTGATGATGAGCACGTGTCTCCAGTCCAACTTTGTGTGCAGCCGCATTGGCAACGTTCCAAATCCAATGTCCCTCCATTCAAACACATCAAGGAACAAACTGGTGGAGGAGAAAATAAAGCACAATAACAAGAAGACGGCAAAAAACAACGCTTTCTCAGTTAAAAGGCCAATGCTCCAAAGTCAATTCCAAATTTGAAGGGAAGAGGAAACAATAATCCTTTCATAGGAAGTCGCTAGCACGATCATGGGCCAAATACAAACCGTTTTATCTATACCAAAGTAGTATGAAAAGGGCATAATACATTCTGATCAGCAGACCACTGACATGTTGAGACACATTAATACATAGACAAACTGTTGCATCCTACCTGTGACATTGAATGTGAAGTTCTCTGATGTAATACATCCGCCATCATTAATCACTGTGCAGTTGATCGTATGAGATCCAACTCTAAACACACCTCCTGTAAGACCGACTGCAGCATCTCCTGATGAGTCTGTACATGTGATGGGTTGATCATCAGAGTTGGTTGCAGTGACTGCTGGCCAAGTCACTGTAGAATTTAACTGGACTTCATTGGTGAACTGTTCACCAACAGTTGGCAGCGTTAGAGATGGTGATACTGTAAAAAATAATATCAAAAGTGTTACATAGGAGGGCCTAATAACACTTATATAAAGAGCATCCACGGAAACAGGAAAAGTTACAATCATCTCCTTTTTTTGGAAGTAACTTTCAAGTCAGAAGAAAGGAAATATTTCTCAAATTGTATGCAGTGGAGAAAGAAATGGCAGATTATTCATTTATGTGATTGCCCATAAATGCTCCTCAACATCTTTTATAAAAAAAAAGCTATATAAAATAGCTATTGTCGGTAGTTACACCACAAAGGCCATGCGAAGCAGGACCAATATGAAGTTGCATTCAACTCACAGTTTTATCAATGCGATCGGTAAGTTTTTCTTTAACTTTATATCGTCACGCTGGAAGCATGCATGCAGCAATGAGTATTGTTACACCGCGGTGGGTATTATTCAAGGACATAATGAGGAAAAACCGGTTTGGGCTACAATGATGTCATCAACAGCCTTCAAACTGAATTTGACAAACAAAAAAACGGTTATGCAAAAATCATTTGAAACAATCTTCAAGCATCTGCAAGCTATTTTTTATGTGCTATTTTTATATAAAGAGCATCGGTGTCTTTTTCTTTGGAGAAGAACCAACCAAGTACCAACAAAGTACCAAGATAGATGTTACATGCACAGATTATGTTACTGATGCTATATACTTACATGTGACATTGAATGTGAATCCTGCAGTATCCACACTCCCATCTGAGAATTGAGCAATACAGATGACAGAATGAGATCCAACTCCAAAGATTCCTCCATTAACACTCACATTTCTACCATCTCCAGAGTCTTGACAAATTACACCAATGGCAGTAGTAGACGTTGTGTTGCCAGTAACTTCATTCCATGTCAGTGACACGGGTGCTTGGCCAGCAGTGATACACTGAGTACTAATGGTTGGCACTAGTACATATGACACTGCGGAAACACAATGTTATGCAAATAATATATTTTTTGTTTAATAGTTGGAAAGAGCATTAAACAGATAGCAAGATGCTTTTTGTTATTGCTTGGAGGTATTTTAGGCTTCAAAAGTCAGGTCCTCAAAAATCGATTGCCTTTATTTCAGTCATAAATTGTTTTTTTTTAAGATTGCCTGAAACACATGCTTTCCTTACTATTGGGCCTTTTTTCAGGCGAATTTGCACTATAAACCTGCCGGTTTATTGTATTTTCAGGTTTTTATATAACACTTTTTTCGAAATAGTTAATTTTGTCTTTCCTCCATTGAGATTGTTACAAGCACTGCATACTTGGTAATACCAAAGAAAATAACAGACAAATTCATAAGGTTGCTTCAATGAGACTTGAACCCAAAACCCCGACCTCACAAAATGTAGCACCAAGAGTTGCATGTAACATGTATGTTGGCAATGAAGGGAAAAAACAGAATTGCAGTCAATCACGGAAGGGTGTCCTAGAGAGCAAGAAGTGTGACTCACGTGATGATGAGCACGTGTCTCCAGTCCAACTTTGTGTGCAGCCGCATTGGCAACGCTTCAAATCCAATGTTCCTCCATTCAAACACATCAATGAACAAACTGTGGAGGAGAAAATAAGGAACAATAAAAAGAAGACGGCAAAAAGAACGCTTTCTCAGTTAAAAGGCCAATGCTTTAAAAGTCAGTTCCAAATTTGAAGGGAAGAGGAAAAAATAATCCGCTCATGTGAAGTCGCTAGCACGATCATGGGCCAAATACAAACCGATTTATCTATACCAAAGTAGTATGACAAGGGCATAATACATTCTGATCAGCAGACCTCTGATATGTTGAGACACATTAATACATAAACAAACTTTTGCATCTTACCTGTGACATTGAATGTGAAGTTCTCTGATGTAATACATCCGCCATCATTAAGCACTGTGCAGTTGATCGTATGAGATCCAACTCCAAACACACCTCCTGTTAGACTGACTGCAGCATCTCCTGATGAGTCTGTACATGTGATGGGTTGATCATCAGAGTTGGTTGCAGTGACTGCTGGCCAAGTCACTGTAGAATTTAACTGGACTTCATTGGTGAACTGTTCACCAACAGTTGGCAGCGTTAGAGACGGTGATACTGTAAAAAAAAAAATAATATCAAAAGTGTTAAATAGGAGGGCCTAATAATACTTATATAAAGAGCATCCACGGAAACAGGAAAAGTTACAATCCTCTCCTTTTTTTTAGAAGTAACTTCAAGTCAGAAAGAAATGAAATATTTCTCAAATTGTATGCAATGGAGAAATGCGATCAATGCGATCGGTAAGTTTTTCTTTAACTTGATATCGTCACGCTGGAAGCATGCATGCAGCAAAGAGTATTGTTAGACCGCAGTGGGTATTATTCAAGGACGTAATGAGGAAATACCGGTTTGGGCTACAATGATGTCATCAACAGCCTTCAAACTGAATTTGACAAACAAAAAAACGGTTATGCAAAAATCATTTGAAACAATCTTCAAGCATCTGCAAGCTATTTTTTATGTGCTATTTTTATATAAAGAGCATCGGTGTCTTTTTCTTTGGAGAAGAACCAACCAAGTACCAACAAAGTACCAAGATAGATGTTACATGCACAGATTATGTTACTGATGCTATATACTTACATGTGACATTGAATGTGAATCCTGCAGTATCCACACTCCCATCTGAGAATTGAGCAATACAGATGACAGAATGAGATCCAACTCCAAAGATTCCTCCAGTAACACTCACATTTCTACCATCTCCAGAGTCTTGACAAATTACACCAATGGCAGTAGTAGACGTTTTGTTACCAGTAACTTCATTCCATGTCAGTGACACAGGTGCTTGGCCAGCAGTGATACACTGAGTACTAATGGTTGGCACTAGTACATATGACACTGCGGAAACACAATGTTATGCAAATATTTTTTTTTTTAATAGTTGGAAAGAGCATTAAACAGATAGCAAGATGCTTTTTGTTATTGCTTGGAGGTATTTTAGGCTTCAAAAGTCAGGTCCTCAAAAATCGATTGCCTTTATTTCAGTCATATATTGGTTTTTTTTAAAGATTGCCTGAAACACATGCTTTCCTTACTGTTTGGCCTTTTTTCAGGCGAATTTACACTATAAACCTGCCGGTTTATTGTATTTTCAGGTTTTTATATAACACTTTTTTTCGAAAAAGTTAATTTTGTCTTTCCTCCATTGAGAATGTTATAAGCACTGCATACTTGGTAATACCAAAGAAAATAACAGACAAATTCATAAGGTTGCTTCAATGAGACTTGAACCCCAAACCCCGACCTCACAAAATGTAGCACCAAGAGTTGCATGTAACATGTATGTTGGCAATGAAGGGAAAAAAACAGAATTGCAGTCAATCATGGAAGGGTGTCCTAGAGAGCAAGAAGTGTGACTCACGTGATGATGAGCACGTGTCTCCAGTCCAACTTTGTGTGCAGCCGCATTGGCAACGCTCCAAATCCAATGTTCCTCCATTCAAACACATCAATGAACAAACTGTGGAGGAGAAAATAAGGAACAATAAAAAGAAGACGGCAAAAGAACGCTTTCTCAGTTATGTAAACGCTAATGCTCCAAAGTCAATTTCAAATTGGAAGGGAAGAGGAAAAAATAATCCTTTCATGTGAAGGCGCTAGCACGATCATGGGGCAAATGCAACCGGTTTTATCTTTAGAGCAAAGAATATACCACAGTAGTATGACAAGGGCATAATACATTCTGATCAGCAGACCTCTGATATGTAGAGACACATTAGAACATAAACAAACTTTTGCATCCTACCTGTGACATTGAATGTGAAGCTCCCTGATGTAATACATCCGCCATCATTAATCACTGTGCAGTTGATCGTGTGAGATCCAACTCCAAACACACCTCCTGTAAGACCGACTGCAGCATCTCCTGATGAGAATGTACATGTGATGGGTTGATCGTCAGAGTTGGTTGCAGTGACTGCTGGCCAAGTCACTGTAGAATTTAACTGGACTTCATTGGTGAACTGTTCACCAACAGATGGCAGCGTTAGAGACGGTGATACTGTAAAAAAAAAATAATATCAAAAGTGTTAAATAGGAGGGCCTAATAATACTTATATAAAGAGCATCCACGGAAACAGGAAAAGTTACAATCCTCTCCTTTTTTTTAGAAGTAACTTCAAGTCAGAAAGAAATGAAATATTTCTCAAATTGTATGCAGTGTAGAAATGCGATCAATGCGATCGGTAAGTTTTTCTTTAACTTTATATCGTCACGCTGGAAGCATGCATGCAGCAATGAGTATTGTTAGACCGCAGTGGGTATTATTCAAGGACATAATGAGGAAAAACCGGTTTGGGCTACAATGATGTCATCAACAGCCTTCAAACTGAATTTGACAAACAAAAAAACGGTTATGCAAGAACCATTTGAAACAATCTTCAAGCATCTGTGCTATTTTTATATAAAGAGCATCGGTGTTTTTTTGCTTTGGAGAAGAACCAACCAAGTACCAACAAAGTACCAAGATAGATGTTACATGCACAGATTATGTTACTATTGCTATATACTTACATGTGACATTGAATGTGAATCCTGCAGTATCCAAACTCCCATCTGAGAATTGAGCAATACAGATGACAGAATGAGATCCAACTCCAAAGATTCCTCCAGTAACACTCACATTTCTACCATCTCCAGAGTCTTGACAAATTACACCAATGGCAGTAGTAGACGTTTTGTTGCCAGTAACTTCATTCCATGTCAGTGACACAGGTGCTTGGCCAGCATTGATACACTGAGTACTAATGGTTGGCACTAGTACATATGACGCTGCGGAAACACAATGTTATGCAAATAATATATTTTTTTAAAATACTTGGAAAGAGCATTAAACAGATAGTAACATGCTTCTTTTTATTGTTTGGAGGTATTTTAGGCTTCAAAATTCAGGTCTATAAAAAATCAATTGCTTTTATTTCAGTCGTATATTGTTTTTTTAAAGCTTGCCTGAAACACATGCTTTCCTTACTGTTGGGCTTTTTTTGTTCAGGCGAAATTTGCACTTGCTCGTTACGTATTATGCTTGCTGCATTTAAAGGTTCGCTATATGACATGTATACGTTGTACTCACAAGACGTATGTCGTATTAAACTACCCTTAAACAACAAACAACCATACGCAGCTCTATAGAAAGGCTTCCCACTTACACTCACAAATGCCTTCTAAAATAGAATTTAGAAATGCGAATGTAGGGTAACTGTAATTCTTTGAATTAAGTTTGCAATCATTAAAGTCAGTTGTGAACAACTGCAAGAACTCAGTGTTGAAAATTTAAACCACGTTCCTATTTGATGATGTAACCAAACTCTGATAAATTTTAATGATCAAATAGACTTGCAGAGTGTGAATAATTCTGTTGTTCAAGTTTCTAACATTTTTTGGGGGGGGAGGGGGAATGTCGCATTGGCTCTAACGGTCTGCTCCAATTTAACAGAAATCGGCATTCCTAAAGAATCGTGAATTCGTGATTCTTCATTTTGTGACAACAAATAATATATTATTAATATGCATGAGATGTTGTTAATAAACTCACGTTCACTGCAAATGTAGTTCAACTTTGTATTGCACGCTCTGTCACCCCATGCGTTGTTCATGTCAGTCATGTTCCCGCCTCCTTCATTTACATAGAAGGAGACGCAATTCTCTCCTGCCCCTCCGTCTGGTTCAGCTGGCGCTTTGTTTGTATTCCAGAAGAAAACATTCTGGGAAAACAAATTCAACACTATCATCACATTTCGCTGGTTAATGTTTCAGCAAAGGAGTGTCTAAAACCAACAAGCTAGATGTCGATGATGATGCTTGGAAACATGCATAAATTAACATCTTGACTACTTTATAGATCTGTACCGGTATCACTGATTTATGGATCAATCTTTAAGTGTATAAGAGTTAAGCAAACTGCATATGCCTTGCTATCAGTAAAGTATTCACAGGTCAAACTGAGATTCAGGGGATCAAGACTAGGGTGCACAAATCTATGGATCAATGTATGGCACAGCTACACATACACTGGAACTAATTTGGATTGGATTAACTGTTTTCCAAGATGTATGACTGTGTATATTGAAAACAATCCTGTAAAATGCATGTATATTGGGTATATATATTTCTTATTTAACAAGAGATTCAGATATACAGGAAAATGAAATAAAGCAATGCAGGCTTTACTGTTAACATAAATGAACGAAATACAATTTTGTGTCCTCTGAGATAACAAATGACAGTTTCATTTCCTTTTAATCGAGAACTGTCTGAAAGCACTAAAACCAAAGAGTTTTTGTACTTCATTTATCTACGATTTCAACAAGTACATTTTGGCAGACTTTGCAATGGTGATCCGTATCTTTACAAGGGACTTTCTACCACTTTGAGGTGGTTTAACATATATTAGAGCAAACTTGAACAAACATTTATTTCGTGATTTCCTTTTAACCAAGAGGAGTAACTTATGCAATATTTATGTTCAATAAATGTGGGGTTTTTTTTAAATACAGACAATAACTGACCGTATCTGTTCCGTCAATCCAAGTATAATTGCCTTCTTCATCCAGGTCATTCAGTCCCAGCCAGTATTCATTGCCATGAACAAGGTTTCCTAATTATTGTGAAATAAATCACAGGGTCAGCAGGAGAGTAACGATTATCAAGGTATTGAATCCCAGGCAGTGATCATCCAACAAGGTTTTCCAACTTTCACAAAGAAGTTCAACCTAACCCCAGCCATTCAACACTCACTTTACCAACATTGCTTCCTCTTTTTGATATCTGGATGTAAACGTGTGCTCGTTTGTCATAACAAGTATTTGTGAAACACGATTAATGAAATCTGATAATGGTGTTAAGAAACCGTTACCAGGCTAATTATATCACACGACATTAAACATTTTGTTTTGTTTTGTTTTGGGATGAAAATATATTGAACTTAATGGAACAACCAATCCATCAAGCCGGCTGTCCGCCATTGAGTCACACTCAGTCTCGAGTCAAGATGCATGTTATTATGGCAACCAAAAGAGAATACTCGCCATAGATATACTGTTGTTGTTCTTGGGTATGAATGCTGGCAATATGTCCACCTGCTGCAACACATGCAGCTTCAGCCTCGTACCAAGACACCCTGTCTCCTTGTGAGGCTAAAAAGACAATATTGTAGCACATAGTTCCCTCACGGTGCCAGCCAGCTGGGCATGAATTGACTGAGGGGGAAAAAAGAGAAATATTTGTCGTTCACTATTCGTCTTTACATTAGGTACCCTATAAAGAAATACACTCAACCAATTATCTTGCATGCTGTCAGCACCTCGTACAGACAGAGAAAGATGTCTTAATTGTACTTGCACAAGTTATGCCTTTGGCGCATGAATCTGGCTTATTTCTCTGACTTACCTATGGCTAAAAATTACCAATAAAAAGTGTTCAAAAGCATGTCTTACCTCCAATGATTGCTATCAACAAAATGATTATCTTGAAGAACATTTTCCGCTGATTGTTGTGAGGACACATTGCTCATCAACAAGTCATAACAACTAGCAATGACTTTATCGAAATATTGTACTATCCTTGATAATGAATCTAATTAACAAAAGCATGAAACATCCTCGCGTACTTGAACTTCAATTGAACTTATCCACATGTAGCAAGGTGCGGTACTGAATCATTGGCATTATTGGGTGTCACGGGTACCCGGATAATATACCGTATACGCACGGCTATACTGTGTGGGTGTCCACAAGCCTTGAAATAATCAACCTTGAATTTCTTCAGTTTTGACTCGGTGATACTTTTCTATAGGCCTACACTTTACAGATTCCACAATAATAGTTCACAAGTTAATTTTACATTACAATGCATTACGAATCTGGTTGGAATGCTTACATTCAGGCGCGTACGCAGGGGGGGTGTTTTGGCTGTTAAACACCCCCCTTTGCCATGTAAAAATATGAGGGGAAAAGAGAGTTATGTGACCGAGCGCGGAACAATTACAAATTATGTGCATGTTCTCAACTTTAAGCTTTGAATACAGAAGACACTTAAGAGCAAGAGTATATAGGCCAATATGTATTTGAAACAAATGAAACAAAATATCCCCTTATAATTTAAAAAACTTCTGCTAAAAAAAACAGGGGAAAGTGGCCAGGAAACGCCTCAGATTGCACCACAGATCATCTACGATCCAAAATTTCCCGGGGCCCTTAAGCGGGCCCCGGACCCCACGCCCTAAGTGCTTCGCGCTCCGCGCTCGCATTGGTCCTCCGGCCAAATTAATCACGGGACATACCGTTATTTCGTTTTACTTTTTTGGATTTCCTCAAAAACAAAAACAGTAAACGAACCATTGACCGTTTTCTCGTTTTACAGTTTTGTAAAACGGTCAAACGGTATTAAGTCACACACACAAAATACTTTTTGTTGTTGTTTTTAATTGTAGAAAGCGATAAACGGTTAGTTGCTTTATTTTTAGAGTGTTGTTTTACAAAATCATGACAATGACAAAACGGTCAATAGTCTTACCGACCATTTTTTGATTTTAGGTTCGGCAATTAAGCAATGCACCGGAATGTTAATTAATGCGCCCTTGGGATCGACTCATTGCCTGGGCCCCGCTCCTTACATTTCGTTCTCACGACAAAATTTGCGAATTGGCTATTGAAGAGCCGCGTCGACTTGAACCCCAGTTTCCTTCAAAATGTCTGCAACTTCATCAAACGTCTTATTACCATCCTGTTTCCATTGTGAAAAGTAATGTCCTCCCTTGAAGTTTTCTAGCGCCATATTGCTTGGAACTCTTTAAGCCCCACCAACTTGACTGAATCGCATGAGAAAGGGGTCAGGGTCCGCGCCAGGAATCACATCACGCATTAATTATGCTGAGGTAACACTTCTTCGTGTAAAACATGTAATGGTCCCCCTCCACCCCCTTGCCCACCGCCACAAAATGCACCACGGACTGTTAACCATGACACTGGAATAAAAAAAACAGTCTGTATTTGTGTAATCTGTAAAACAAAAATCATTGATCGTTATGCTATAATGAATTTTACTAAACTTATAAAACGGAGAAACCGTATTTATCTTAATACCGCTTGTCGTCTTATAACACTATAAAACGACAAAACGGTCGATGATTCGTTTACTGTTTTTGTTTTTGAGGAAATCCAAAACGGTAAAACGAAATAACGGTATGTCCCGGGATTCAAATTCCCTCTATGCTATAATTTCACCCTAGCGGTGCCCCCACCATTTTGTACCTTAAGTGGCATAAATCCCTTTCCAAAATAGAAAATTGTGAAAAAATACGGAGATGGAACATGGTTCTCAACTTTGAGTACGTAACAAACTTTATAAACAACAAAAAAAACATAACAAATTTAAATGGAATTTTCGATGTTTAAAACGTTTTCTAAACGGTGGAAGTGGCCAGGAATCGCCTCAGATTGCACCACAGAGCATCTAAAATCCCATTTTTTCCCGGGGCCCTTAAGCGGGCCCCGGACCCCACGCCGTAAGGGCTTCGCAGGTCC